GCAAAAAAGATACTCTTGTGGAAATCCGTTGATATAAGCCATTTTCGAGATATTTCGGTTTTTAATGTTCGATGACGCATCGGAATATTAAAATTATTTCGGAAAAAAAATTTTTTCTCCGATTGGCAGCAAATATCGATTTTGCTGACACATATCAATCAGCGAAGTATTACTTTTCCTGCCTAGGCAGCAAACTGGGTACTTTGCTGCCTAGGCAGCAAAGTGATTATACTGAATGGGAATAAAACATTTGACGTAAACATTTATTAGCAATTATTACATTACACTTTTAACAAGAATTTAAAAAACATATGTTTAGTTGCTATTAACATTGATGGTAAAATTACTACAATTTTGAACGAATATTCCACCTTTTCTTTCCTCAGATATCGTTCTTTCTACATTAATTATATTACCAGTATGATTCGTCTCATAAGTAGTTCCTATATTTGTCAAAACTATTTCACAAATGCTGGTTTTACTGGCCATTGAATCTTCAATGTACCCTTCTGCTATAGTTGAGGATTTCCACCCACCATGTCGTTTCAACATTGTTATGTCACCACCTGCATTCACAAGTGAAGCGGCAGAACTTCTGCGGAGGCAGTGTCCCGTATATTCCTTAGCATTCGGCAACTTTAAATAGACAGCTATTTCTTGAGGTATTTTACCAAATTTATGGATTCCAACGAATTGCTTCATGGATTCACCTTTTGCGTATTTGAAAAAACAATCTTGTGTCTTTTAATTCAGCAGGCCGAAGAGCTATATATTTTCTAACAATATCCAAATATTCCATTATTACGAAAGACCTCGAAATCTTCGTCTTCGTGTTTAATAGGGATACCAATAGTTTATTGTTCATATCTTCAATATTTTCTAACTTCAAATCCAAAAGTTCGTCGCAGCGACATGCACCCGCAATTCCAAAAATCAATACAACCTAAAAGAATGGATTATAAGTATTTTCACTCCATGGTATAGATATCTGATTCAAAACTTACTTTTGCTAATAAATATTCATCATCTGGTGCATCCAGTATAAAGTTTGTGATATCCTGTTTTTCGAAAACTCGGGACTTCTTTGCCTTGTAGCCTTCAGATGACCGTTTTAAATATGCCCGCAACTTCAAGTACGCCGCAACGCCATTTTTAACATTCATAGTTGCCTTCAACATGGAATATACAGACCAAAGGGTAGAACTCTTCATTGTTTGAGATAATCCAGCAAAATAAGCAAGTAATACATTCTCCGAAAAAGTCTTCGCATTTTTCTCCATGCAAAAATCCATAAATCGTTTATAATTTCCTTCATATTTCATCCGAGACTTCTCCGGCAACAAATTCAACTCTATATTTTTTGCCACCTCCCTTATTTCTGGAGGAGTAAGTACTTCCAGGTCGATATCACTGTCCATTATATAAAAATTTAAATATATACCGATATTTTTTCGCACAACTGTTAGAAATTTCATGAATTGTCAAACTATAATTATTATGGACATTTCCATAGCAACCAACCATTCCAACAACTGCGATTTCTATCAAATTTTATTTTGATTGAACACTACAGGAATAATAAAGAGATTGTGGGAATTGTAATAATTTGCAAATACAATATCCTCCTATATCATTATGAACAATCGGAGAAAAAAATATATGTTCAACTCAGCAGCAAAGTAGATAGACTGCCTTAGCTGGATTCCTAGCCTCGCTACGCTCGGCTATGAATTCAGCCTCGGCAGTCAATCTACTACTTTGCTGCCTAGTTAAACAAGTAACTATTTACTGTTATCTTCGTGGATATAATTTGGTCAGTGAATAAGCAGTATAGGATGATTTTTTTTTTCAAATTCAAAAATCCTCGTATTTGTTACCTGTTCGATACTATTGAAATGTAAACATTCCGCTTATCTCAAGAATTCTCACAATCAGTTAATTTTCAGCATGTTATATATAGTTACAGAAAGTTTAGTAGGAAGAATTTGGGTAGGTATGGATTCTTTTCAAATTGAATTAGGAACACTTCTATTTTGAAAGTGATTTCAACTCTCATAAACTTTAAATAATTGTTCAAAATGACCTCCGTTAACATGAGTGCAAAGATTTATACGACATAAAAGGTGCTATTGTACTCTCCGCATCAATTCCTCATCGTTTTTCAATATGTCCACTGAATTTTGAATAATTTTCCACAACTCTTCTACATTATTAATCGGTCTGGAGTATACCATGGTTTTCAAAGACCCCCATTAAAAATAATCCAACGGAGTCATATCCGGTGAGCGTGGCGGCCAGTTTACAGGAGCGTCATTTCCTCTACCAATCCATCTGTTTGGTTAGTTTTGATGTAATCAATTTCGGACAGCTAAAGGAAAATGTGGTGGAGCACCATCATGCATAGACCACATATCATGTCGAAGTTGTAATGGCAAATCTTCTAATAAAAATTTCATAATTCTTCAAGCTTCGAGGTAATAGGTAGAGTAACAAATTGGATTCATGGCTGTTAATGCAGTCATTACCGTGTCACCAAAAAAATATCGAATTTCGGAGAGGAGATGAATGTTTAATGTTTAATGTTTATTGAGGTGTAACAAACAGGTTGAATCATGTAAGTTACAATTCTGAAGTGAAATGGGGGCATAATAATTTTATATTTCTCTACGATCGTGCAGAAAAGTGTTTTTACCGCATGATTTATCGTTTTGGACGTTGTAATTTTCCCTACAATTCGACTTTCCACATTATTTTTATTTTTGCGCACGATTTCGAAGAGAATACCAGGAGACATGTGGTGATAATAGGCTTATATCACAAAAAAATTTCATTTCATAATTCGATAGAACTCACTCAAACTAGCTCATCACCGTTTCTTGCTATGAGCTTTCAGAAGGTACTATCATTCATGTCCAAAATAAAACATTCCAGTTAATTTTTCGATCGAATTATGTCGCCAATCATTATTTATGTATAAAAGGATCATTATAAACATGGTTTGAGTTGAAAGTTCTACTAAGGTGTACACGCCCATTGTTGGCACCAGAACGTAACCATAGCAACAATCGCTATAAACTGGCAGTAATGACAGTTAACAAATAAGCATTTCAAGCATTATTTTTCCGTGTACATAATTCCTATCAAATTCAAATGAGAAACGACGTTCTTTAGGATGTTGCGCCATCTGCTATATTACAGCATGCAACAAACACTAATTGCACTTTCAATCTCAATATTTACCATCGTTAATGTTTCAGTTATTGTTATTTTAATGTTCTTCAAATAAGTTTTCTATTATATCGATGAAACAAAAAATCTATGAGGTGTATTTTCAGAATTCCGCGGCTGGGTTCATGCAAAACTATAGTGAAAGGTTTCAATGTACTGCCAGTTCCTTGTTAATATATATTCGAATTATGTGTATACGTTCTCCAGAGCATACATTAATTTATGCCCAAAATGGATGTACACGAACATAATACGAGACATAAAAGTGACATTATGATCAAGAAGACGAGGCGGGATATTTCTTCATGTTCTCCAAATATATTTGGCCCAAAATTGTCAAATACTCTTGTCTGGTGACTCCCTGATACTCTTCTAAAGGAAACTCAAACTATTATTAGCAGATAAGTCGTTTTATAATATGAATGAATTTTTATTGCCTGATAACGTGTGATAAACACACTCGTATCGTATTTTTAATGACATTTTATAGGATGTCTTATTTTTATTGTATGTTTCATTCTTATCTTCACATCGACCGCCACGAATAATTTACAATTTCTTTTATTTTTACTAACATGAATTGACTAATTCCTATACATGTGAAATGTCAAAAGGATAGTAATAAACTGGAATAATAAAACGTATTTCCCAAAATTCAAAATTACTAATTTCGTAAAGGGTTGGCTGGAATTATATCCTCTCGTTAACCGTGAGAAATACAGGGTCGGTTGATTTATAGCAAATTTGCGCAGTGTCATGTTAAACAAAATGCCGTATTCATGCTTGAAAAATTCCTTGTTCCATATAATTTTTGATTTATTTGAAGAAATTGATCGAACATAATAGGGATTCTCTGTCATGCGCCGCAAGAAATGAAATTACAAAATTCCCTACAAGTTGACATTTTTATGATTGAAATCCGACGTTTCGTGTTACATACACCATCAAAAAGTTTTTCCACACTAGTGCGGGAAATTTTTTCTCACACTAGTGCGGGAAAACATTTATATAATATTATCGCAAGATATGAGGGGTGGGTGACACAATATAAAAATTTTAGGGTTTTTTGTTGCAGTATTTAGTAGGTTTGAACAAAATCATCCATCATATTGCACTATATATTGTGAAAATGAAGAAATATTGAGAAATAATAATTGATTGTTATATAAATCCCCCTATAGCATTTGAATGATCTGATGTGGGAAACAATTGTTGTCATGTCAATCAAAACACAAATTAGTTATAGCGGTTTCATTGGTCATGAACTGGTGAAGTATAAATGCACTCAGTGTATACTTCTTTTTGACGTGTAGCAAATCAACGAATCAATCAAATTTATTGCTTTCGATAGAGTACATTACAGGTGTTATAAATTGTTTCTAAATCAAAATCCCAGATAGAGCATAATGAGTCTAGGCAAATTTTGCCTGTCTTAATCTATGGTCGATCTGAGGACTTTATAAGTTCAACGTACATTTTGTTTTTATCATGTTAATTCAGTGAGTAGATTGTGAATGTATTTGTTGAGGTTTTCGTATAATTTGATAAATTCTTTTTTTTGGTGGTTTTACAATGTCAGGCAGATGATGCAGGGAGGTAGGCAGGTATTATTATTATTTTTTTTTTGTTACGTAGATGTTGATTTCAATATATCGTAGAATATCTTTGGGTTTTTCAAAATATACTGTTTTGTTTCAATATTATATTCTTTTTCTTCCGAAGAAGTAATAAGATCTTTGTGTTAAGGTTTTTTTGAACAATTGTGTGTTGAGATTTCTGTGGTCAACACTTAAAAGGTCATAAGTCGATTTTGGGCTGTTTTGATATTTTTATGTCATTGTGTAGGAAATAGTGGGATATATCGAATGTTAAAGAAACATAGGTCGACTTATAGCAGGATATATTTGAAAAATGATGTCGATATCTTCATAAAACTTGAAATAACTCACTAACAGATGATTAAAGTGATATAAGTATACATAAAATGAGTACTGGGAAGAACAAAATCGATTGAAAAGGAATAAATGAACATAACTCATTTCGAGCGTTTTCAGAATTAAATTTCATGATACATGAGTATACTTACGACGTTTTGAGCGTTCGATATTTGGCGACCTTCAGAATATATAGACTTATGTCCTTTTCAGAAATTCAAATCATATGCTCCAGGCGACATATTAGTATCACTTCTTGGTTTTCGCAAGTTTGAGTTGTCTTGTTTTTCGTATTGTGCTTAGGAGCTTAGGTATTCAATGAGAACATTATATTGAAAAATCATCTGGTGAGTGGTTTATTATTTGAGTACCAAGTAAACTGTGGTGATTTTGAAAGATGCCAAGAACAAGAGGAGGCAGGAATAACAGGACTCAACGAATTCTAGCTGAGTGTAGAAAAATGGTTTCAGAAGGTGAGGTTATGTTTCATTTCTCAATATACAGTATATCTGCGAAGCCGTTCAGAAAGGGATAACTTTCGTAGTTCGTACCATCATTCTCACGAGAGATTCAGAGTATTTCGGAGTGTCTCCAAACTTGTTTTGTGTTCAGAGAAAATAAAATTGGAATGAAAAGCTATAGTCAGAATAGTATGTACATGGTGGTCAAAGACAGTTTAGAAATCATCACTCTGGAAAAAACTCTTTCACTTATTTAATCCCATGTTATTCAATATGATTCGTTAGTACATATTTTCCATAAAGAATAATCCAGTTCATGGAACACATAATGGAATAAAGAGACTTTATTCCAATTTGAAAAATTAGTCCATGCTGGTTTATTGTTATATCACAAAAATAGTAACAATCATTTTATGTTTGTCTTCATTCGAGTTATTTTCCCGAACTCATGAATTGGCAAATACATATTTCTATTCTACAATTCAATTTGCGTTGAACTTTCGAAATTCCACTTCATAGAAAATATTACTTGGAAAACTAATATAAAATTAATGATACTTAAATAAACATCAATTTTTGTAGGTACAAAATCAAATGATGAAAATAAGGAAAATGAGAGTAGTACTCTCAGCAGTACTACTTCAGTTGGTTTAGAGAAATCAATATCATTTGATCCTCCTGTTCGTAATGAATTCCAAACGTTCTTTAATACTCCTGAAAATACCGCATTTAATATATCAACAAAAGCTACTATTATATCAGAATTCGACGATGAAACTGATGTCAATGGGCAAATTCTGATGGATTTAGAAGTTCCTGTTGTTAACGATATATCCATTGCTCAAGGTAGGATTTCCAATCTGGCTTCCTCGTTGGCATTTTAATACTATTTGATAATTTCAGATGAAAATGGAAGTGCGCTCCTAATACCTGATGCAAAGATACTATTTCCTGCAGAATCTCTCACAGAGAATGCTTCAATACCGACAGACAGAAATAGTGATGGTGAAATACAAATCCACATGGACTCGGAAGTTTCTGTTAGTATTGAATCAGTCATGCAAGGTACTAACGCATCTATCCTTTTGTCGGCTCATGTGGCCATCATATCGAATTTCACATTTTCAGATGGATATGGAAGTGAACTACCAATGAATGATAGAAATGTATATGAAGATTCATCTCTAGGTTTAACACAAACAATTGAAAATGGTGACTTTTACATGACCAATGAACGAATGCAAGAAGAGGATTTGGAAATTCAAAATCAAGACATGATTACTGATGAACATAAACCGACCGACGATGTGAACAATGAAGACGAAAATAATTCAGAATATGACGATCATAATAATAATGTGGTTGATAAAATGAAAAAACCGTTCAGTATCCAGAAAGTGAAAACCAGAAAAAGAAACCGAAATTCAGGAAAGCAATACGTAACAGCCAAAGGAAAGATAAAAAAACCTCGAGAAATGAAACCTCTCCGAACAAATTGTCGTAACAAGTGCCGTAACGTTCTGGATGAAGAAGTCAGGCAAACCATATTTCGAGAGTATTGGTCATTGGGTGAGTATGATAAGAGAGTAGCGTTTGTTGCTAGTCTAATAAGTGCCCAAGATAAAAAAATAACGAGAATGAAAGTGGAGGGTAAGTCTACCAAAAACCGAACATACTCGTATGTCTACAGTCTAGAAATTAAGGGTTCCAAACATATCGTCTGTAAAACTTGTTTTTTAAACACCCTTGGTGAGACAGAAAAATTTGTATCGGTTGCTCTCTCTAAAAAGTTATCAACAACTTGCGGGATAACAGAACCTGACAGAAGGGGAAAACATGTACCAAGCCACAAAACCCCTCAATTCAAAATAAATCAAGTAAATGAGCACATATTGTCATTCCCTGCATACGAAAGTCACTATTCGGGACGACATACTAGTAAAAAATATCTGGCTTCCTCCCTCAACTTGAGCACCATGTACAAATTGTATTGCGAAAAATACCCAGACCAACCAGTCTCTATCAAGATATATTCTCAAGAATTCCATAAAACTGGACTGAAATTCAAGAAACCAAAAAACGATACCTGCACCAAGTGCGACACTTTACATTCTCAATTGAAAATTGCGAATAGTGAAGAAGATAGACGCAATTTGAATGATCAACTGACAAGTCATCAACTTTCAGCTGATTTAGCATATAAAAGTAAAGAGAATGACAAAAAGAAGGGTCTGGATGACCCTTCCGTTATGACATACGCTTTTGATTTGGAACAAGTTCTTCCCACGCCCTATCTGTCTACTAATAAGATGTTTTATCTGAGGCAGTTATCAACGTATAATCTTACGGTGCACAATTGTATTTCTGGAGAATCTGGTCACTACATGTGGCCCGAATCAACGGCTGGAAGAGGAGGCAACGAGGTGGCATCCTGTTTATTCAGATTCTTGAACTCCATCCCTGAAAGTGTGAAGATTGCCAATTTCTATTCAGACACATGTGGGGGGCAGAACAAAAATTTCATAGTTAATGCAATGTACCAATATGCACTCAATTTACATCCTTCTCTGGAAGAAATCAACCATAAATTTTTGGTACCCGGCCACACTCACATGGAGTGTGATGTAGACCACTCTGTTATAGAGAGAGCAAAAAAAAAATCACCATTTGAAATTCAAGTGCCAAGAGATTGGTATCAGTTAGTTCGAATAGCCAGCAAAAAAAATAAATTCAAAGTATTCGTCATGGAGTGTGAACACTTCTTTTCCTTCTCAGAAATGACAGGAAAGGGTCCATTCCAAAAAAAATCCTTTAGAATGAGAGACGTTTGCTGGCTTCGGTACACGAAAGGAAACGAAAAGGTGCAATATAAATTTAGCCTTTCTGAAGAAGAAGAGTTCGAAGAGATTGGATTTTTCAGAAAGGGAAAGAAGTTGCAAAATCTTTCAGGCTACGAATTAAATCGATTAAACAATGGCCCAAAACCTATCAACCCTAAAAAAAAAGCAAATTTAATGGAAATTGCCAACCTACTGGACAAAGATGTTCAAGAGTTTTATAAAAATCTTGCAGTTGAAAAAATCACTGGTTCTACGGCAGATACAGATCCGGACATCGATCGCTATTTTTCTGACGATGAAGATTAAGAAAATAAGTGGATTTAATTTCTTCATCAGTATATTTCTGACATATTCCTGTTTATTTTGAATAAAGAATATTTTATTGACAACAGAAGTTTTCAAGAATAATTTCTCGATAACTCGACATATGTTCACTTACGCCCTTTTAGGAATGAAGTCAGTAGAGTTTGACAAAATATGTTCACTTATACCATTTCGAGCAAAGTATAATCGATGATTTGGAACGATTAAGTTGACATAAGTCCTTTTGATTGTACGAAATGTGACAATCCAAATAAATCAAGTGAACATATGACTATTTGAGGATTCTTTCAACTTGTTTTTCATGTACATATGTGAATATAAGCTCCTTTCATCGTTTTGAATTCTATACTCTGCTACACTCGAAAGGGCATAACTTACAATTAAATCGAAAAATCATGATTATTTCTACATTTCATTAGGAAAACATGAGAAGAAATCATTGATATAATATAATTGACCCCGAAATTGGGTACTCTTATAATATACTGATTTCACAGAGCACATTGAATGTTGATTTACGCTTCACGGCAAAAGTCAAAATTCTACTTACGACCTTATGAGTGTTGACCACAGATTTATATTTGCATTTGATCTGGTTATTCTATTTTTTATTGAAGAAAGAGAAATGTATACACTGAGTGCGCACTAGTTTTACCAATTAAATCCGTAATTCTCAGAGTGACACACAGAGCGTTACTGTCATTTTCGATTCAGTGGAAGCACTACACGGGATTTATTGAATGGTGCAATAGTAAAAGAGTGAGAACATCAAATGAAGAAGAAGTATTTCCTAGAAATGTCTGAAACCTAGATACCAAACACCATGGGCATGCTGGTTTCCCCAATGAGCTTACCCTACATAATGCTTCAAACGGTACACACAATAGATATATCACTAATCATTAGAAGATAGAGAATATATTACTATTGTTAGTTGTTCCTATCTGCAGGAATAATTGATTGAACAAATCAATTGATTTCCTACGCTTGTAGAAAAAATATTGTTCCTTACTCACATGGAAAGTGTCTTTCCCGGTCTCGACTGCTTGCCCAAACTTCGCGTCGCGTCGTTCGGTCAACGGCATTCGCGTGCGGGAAATCATCACTTTCCGTACTTGTTAGGAAAATTACTATTTCGATTCAAAAGTTGTAGTTTTCTGTACGATTTTATTTTTCCTCATTATTTTTACTTTTCCGCACGTTTTCGAAGGAAATACCAGGAAACATGTGGTAATAACTGTTGGCACCAGAACGTACCCATAGAAACAATCTCTATAAACTGACAGTAGTGGCAGTCAACAAATGAGCATTTCAGACCAATCTACCTTCCTCCATCCAATACACTAGTAATTCTCAGCAACAAACTGGTCAAGGCATTTCTGTAGTGGGCCAAACAATAACCAATCAAACTCAAACAAGAAACGACGTTCTTCAAGATGTTGCGGCATCTGCTATATTACAGCATGCAACAAACACGAATATTGTTTTTTTTATCGCTTGGAGCGCACGAAAGGGAATCCCTATAATGTTCAACATCGTGCGTTCCTAGGGAGGATAGGGATAGGAGGTGGGTATTGGAATTTTTTTGAACTTCTGGAGATTATTTGTTGTTGGGAATACTTCCTCAGGCAATGAATTCCAGAGCCTAGCCGTTCTATGGATGAAGGAGTTTTGATAAAGTGCTGTTCGACATCTTTCGAGGTTGACAACGAAAGGATGTGCTGACTGGGCTTGTCTAGATCGTCTGACTGGTATTGCTAGTGAAGGGATGATAGCAGAGATTTCCGAAGCACCATTCCGTGAAAGTATCGATGGAAAAGTGAAAGGTCGCCGACCTTTCTACGGTGTTCCAATGATGTCAAAGAGTGAGTGAGTGTGGCGTCACCCACCAGGCGGATGGCTCTTCTCTGGATGGAATCTAAGAGCATCAGCGTATGTTTTGGTGCTGAACCCCATATGTGGGAACAGTATTCTAGAACAGGCCGTATCTGCGCTTTGTAGATCATGGGAAGCTGTTGAGGTGTAAAGTAGCTTTTCGCACGGAGCAAGAATCTGAGTTTTTGTGAAGCAGCTTTTGCGATGGATCTGACATGATTATCTCATAAAAGAGTGTTGCTGATGGAAATACCGAGCATAGATATGGTGGGCTTGGTGGGGATGGTGGTGCCAGACATTACAATGTCGGGCATACTGAATTCCGCCTTTCTAGAGAAAATACAGGCTTGAGTTTTGGTGACGTTGAATTCAACTAGGTTGTTGGTTTCCCAGGCTGTGATTTCAGCAAGGTCTTCATTGACAGCATTGACCTGCCTGCGCCGTGAGTTCTTAGTTTCCTGGGAAGAAATGGGAATTCTAGAAGAGAACGCAGTATGGAGGGTACTATCATCTGCAAAGCTGTGGATGGGGCAAGTTGTTACTCCCAACAGATCATTGATATGAAGGAAAAATAATGTTGGTGCCAAAATTGATCCTTGTGGAACGCCCGAATTGATGCCAATGGTATCAGACGATACACCGTCCACCACCACATGAAGCGATCTGCCTGAAAGGAAACTCGATAAGAGATGGCATAGCTGAGGTGATAAGCCGTATGATGGTAGTTTGTGGAGGAGTCCTTCGTGCCAAACACGGTCGAATGCTTTCGACATGTCCAACGCGACAGCTAGAGATTCCCCGTGTTTTTCTATTGAAGATTGCCATAAATGGGTGACGTAGGCAAGTAGATCTCCAGTAGATCTTCGGTGGCGAAAGCCGTATTGTCTATCATTGATGATTCCTGAGCTCTCCAGATTTTTGATAAGCTCAATATTGATGGCTTTCTCCATCTCTTTGGAGATTACTGATAACAGGGCAATGGGCCTGTATTTGTTGGGCAGGTTCTTGTTCCCTTTTTTGGGGATTGGTTGGACTCTAGCTATCTTCCAGCATGATGGAAAAATACCCGACCTGTACGAGATGGTAAACAACTTGCAGAGAATCGGTGTTAATTCTGGTGCACATTTTTTGAAGATAATGGGTGGAATTCCATCAGGACCGTTAGCCTTATTCGTTTTGAGACCAAGCATAATTCGTCTGATAGAGCGTTGACGAAAGACGATTTCAGGCATTCGTCTACTTATGAAACTCTTGGCTTTGTGATCAGGCATTTCAAGCAGTTCACTAACCCTATAATACTCTCAAGTTCCTGTTTGACGCATTTGTGAGAACTAAACTTGAATACGTCTCCATTATTTGGTCGCCAGGCTATAATGTCCACTTGAATAATATCGAGAATGTACAGATACGTTTTCTCGAAGCAATATGTTTCAGAGAAGATGGGGAGTATCCTGCAGGAGGTATTCCTCAGGAATTTACTGGATCGTTCCGGCACTAACTCGTTGCAGACACGTCTTACATGTCACAGCATATTTTTTCTTTTGAAACTCCTCAATAGCAAACTAGATTCTCCCCATTCACTCTCTTTCCTGGATATTCATGTACCTAGAGGGTCTGCTCGATCGTATAACATGTTTTATTTGTCATAACTCACTTCTGTTTTCATCTATTCATGCAATTCTGCATGTGAACTTTTTTTCTCAACACGTTTTTTTTTTCAGTTCACATGCATAGTTGTTGCATGTAAGTCTCACAAATTCTTGTTTTCTTTCTTGTATTATTTCAATCATTGTATTGTAATTTGTGCTCACCGATTTTCCCCACCCTGCTTAAGGCATCAGCTGTAAGGGTGGCGTTAATCTAAATAAATAAATAAATGAATTAATTAGTTAATTCATAGTTGCTCGAGTATCATTGATACCATGGCAACCGTTGACAGTTATTCATGAAATTTTTTTTTCATTCAAACTTTTGAGGTCAATAACTCCGTAACGAAGTGCGATAATTTTTTTTTATATTGAGTACTGGAATTATTTTGGCTCACTTCATCAGCACTGTCATTCACGACATCTTTCCAGAAAATCTGTATAATAAGGTGTCAACTAGCTCAGATGAGATCCCTTTGTATTTGATGAAAACATTTATTTTTACTCAAGCATAACCTATTCAATAACTGTTCAATTCCTCTCTTGAGGAGGTAAAGTTACCTAACAACTAAAAACACAGTTTTGTCAAACCTATTCATAAAAGTGGTTCACGGCAGGATGTTACTTATTATAGAGGTGTGTATTTGTAATCAGTCAGAGTTACCAAAAATGTTGAATTGTTTGCATTACCTACTGCCTAAGGCTAGGCTGAAGATGGTCTTTTATAAGACCGAAACATGTCCCTCATGATTTAGTTAAAAATATCATTAAAAATTGTGGAGATGACTTCGAGCATTCCTTCCTTTATCACACCTACCTTTAATCATTCGTAACAAGTGTTTGATTTAGTTCCTTGGAAAAATAACGTGAGATCAATAGCTAAAAGTGCATCCCAAAAACTTAGTTTTCTGTTTCGGGTAGGAGCTATTTCACTTCCAGTCAGCTGCTTATGATCTATAAGGCACAGATCCGACCTGTCCTAGAATACTGTTCCCATATTTGGAGTGCAGCACCCAAACATGCCCTGAAACTGTTGGATACTGTCCAAAAGAGGGGAAATCGTCTTGTGGGTGATGCCTCGCTCACAAACTCACGCACTTCTCTGGAACACCGTAGAAAAGTTGGGGATCTGGCTCTATTTTATAAATATTTTCATGGACGATGCCGTTACCACCGATACACGATGCTCTTCTTCCTTGGCAGTCCCCGCGAGATTGACCCGCCGAGTTGAGGCTTCGCACCCCTTCGTGGTCACTTTGGAGACCTGCAGAACATCTCTTTCCAAAGACTTGTTCATCCAACGAACACCAAGGCTCTGGAATACATTGTCAAGAAAGGTGTTCCCCGAAGCATATAAACTCCAGAAATTTAAGAAGAACACCAATTCCCACCTTATTTTCCTTGGTTCTCACGATGTTCTCTGAACATAACAGGATACCCCTTCTCGTGGAAACCAGAACATGAAAAGAAAGTGTGTGATACTATACAGGGTATGTCAAATATCGAGAATCAGTGGAGATAAATACATGGAAATATGCTCGTTAATATTTCAGAATACGCTCCTTCCATTTGAAATAATTTTAGCAATGCAGTGTTGCCGCTTCTATAAAAAAATAGCAACAACTTTGTTATTTCAAATAGAATACCCTGTATTTCTCCATGAAGATCTGATTTCATCTATACATCACACTTGGGGTCTATCAAAAATGATTTGAGAGATATTGGGTGTTCAAAATCGAGGTTTTTCAACTTCAGGATTTGTTTCAGTCGAAACTATGCATTATCTGCCAAAACGGCTCACATTTCCCTATCTCAACTTTTGATTTACTATTTACTGATATTTAATCGGAACAGATACAGGGTGATCAGAATTCTGAATCAGTAAATAGTGAAGCAAAAGTTGAAATAGGGACATGTGAGCCGTTTTGACCGATAATGAATAGTTTCGACCAAAAAAAATCCTATATCTCTGTATTTATTTTTGATAGACCCCAAGTGTGATGCATTGATGGAATCAGCTCTCCAGGGAGAATCTGAAAATGCAATGAAATACAGGGT